ACAAAAATTTTGTCATGATGAAACAAATGTCTTTAATCTTTAACATAAGAGCCAAGTTGAAGGTGAAGATGTGCTTGGCGGCAGTATCTTGGTGTTACCGCATGGCACCAGTGCTTTCTTTTTCAAATTTTTCCTTATATATCTTTGGTTTGTTTTCAGTTTTAAACACTAGAACATGATTTTTCTATGGCCACTGGCTTTGTTATTGCTTTAGTACTCAAATTTTATCACACAAGGTCCTGTAAAATAATATAGTTAATATAGTTAATGTACGCTCACTAAACTGTGTCAGTTTATTACTGTTGGTAACGTGTATACACTGTACAAGCACTGTATGTGTTATTAGAATTCTTGCAGTGTGTTGAACCCCTTAAGACAAGGAATAATGCACAGTGTTGTTGCATATGACATATACACGTGGAGGTCCTCTCTTGGTGTGAGAACACACGTATTTTGAGCCTTTTTCTTCATGTCAGGTGGAGGAATTAGTGCTAAGTAGTGACTGTGATTGCCAGGCTTCAGACAAGATCAAAATTTGTCACTCTGGCAGCAGTGTGGTGTTGAAACCTTGTATTTTCATATTATGACAGCATATATGGGTCTGTTCCCAGCCTTGACTTTGTATATATTATACACATTTAGCATTGCAATATCAACAAGATATCAATCAACAAACACAGTTTACAAACCAGATTTGTTGACCAAATGCAAATTATTGATGTAATCAACGACAGGAGCTGGTTTCACAGTGGGTTAATTTGTTTCTCTGTTCACCTTACCAGTTTATTTCATTGCATGAGGGTAGAGGAAGAAAGGGATGGAGGGTAGTACGAGACTGTGTGGACTGATGTACATTTTTACACTTTACTAGTGAATATTGCATGTCATTATCACTTGTTTTACATTACTGATAATTATTGCATGTCATTATCACTTGTTTTACACTACTGACAAATATTGCATGTCATTATCACTTGTTTTACACTACTGAGAAATATTGCATGTCATTATCACTTGTTTTTCACTACTGACAAATATTTCATGTCATTATCTCTTCTTTTACACTACTGACAAATATTGCATGTCATTATCACTTGTTTTACACTACTGACAAATATTGCCTGTCATTATCACTTGTTTTTCACTACTGACAAATATTTCATGTCATTATCTCTTCTTTTACACTACTGACAAATATTGCATGTCATTATCTCTTCTTTTACACTACTGACAAATATTGCATGTCATTATCACTTGTTTTTCTACTAATGACAAATATTTCATGTCATTATCTCTTCTTTTACACTACTGACAAATATTTCATATCATTATGGTGTAGTGTGCTTCCCCAGCTATTTACAGTATTATTTTTGCATGAAATCAAGATATTTTAATTGCAAAATGTGGTAATTAGTATTAGTGCATTAGAAATATTGAAAATCACACTTTATTTGGCTTAGCAAAACCACAAACTGTAAAAACTAATTGACACTTTAGCACCAGTGTTGCCAACAGCAACACTGGCAATCCCATAGCCTGGCTGGCAAAGCTCTCGCTTCACACGTGGAGGACCTGGGTTTGATTCCCAGCAGGGTGGAAACATTTTGACATGCTTCCTTACGCCTGTTGTCCTGATCACCTAGCAGCAAATGGATACTACCCGGGTGTTAGTCGACTGGTGTGGGTCACATCCTGGGGGACAAGATTGAGGACCCCAATGGAAATAAGACACAGTCCTTGATGACACACTTCCTTTTTTGGATTATCCTGGTTGACTAACCCTCCGGGGTTAAAAATCCAAATGAAATCTTGTCTCTTAGCACATTAATTTTGGCCAACTTCAACACATCATAAAATGGTACATTTTTATCAGATTCCTCTCATTTTAGTCTTATTCCATTCAGAAAAATGTGCTTTTTCAAATTGCGAGATTGTTTTCTTTCATAAATGTGGATGTTTGTAATTCAGATGATTGTAAGTTGAAGACCAACTGTTCCTCTTTTATCATTGCCTCTAGAGTTGTTACCTCATATCAATACTGTAATATGACTGAATCATTATATTTAAGATTTTGTCTCTGACATTACTCAACCAAAAGTGCTGTGGCATAATTTTCTATCATCACTTGCTCTTTTCCTTCACTCCCATCTTTCCCTCACTCCTCTCCCTCTCTCCCACTTTTTTTTTTTTTTTACACAGGGTTTGACAAGGTTAGGTTAAGGATCCCTAGCTTTATTGACAAGCTATTTACAGGTTAAGGATTCCTAACTTTATTGGCAAGCTAAGAGCTGTTACCTACATCAGCTCATTTAAAAGCATTTTTATTGTTATGAAACATACAAGTAAGGAACAGGATGAAGTTGTAGCCATCTGTGGGCCAGCATTTTCATTTGATCAACTGACTTTATCCCTTTGACATCATTATGCTGTACGAATGTGTTCCATACTCGAGTCATCCTGGGTATATAGGATCTCAGATGGAGTGATGTTCTGGAGAAGGGTACAGCCAGAGTGAAGTTGCTGCTTTCTGCCTGTCTTGTGGCATAAAAGCTTGTTTCACGCTGTCCTCGAAATGGGTCCAAGTGTGGTACTTTGATAGTATTGGCCTTGTACGTAACAGTAAGGCCACCCACATCCCTCCTGTGTTGAAGGCTCTGCTGAAATGACAGATCTATCCAGGATGGGTCCAGGCGAGAGATGAGACGTCTTGCTCTGTTCTCTACTCTGTCAAGCAGTCGCAGGTGAGAGGGGGGCAGGCAAACCAAGAAAGTGGATCATACTCAAGGTGTGAGCGTACTTGTGCCTCGTACAGAATCTTGGAACCCCTACTGTCAAGCAGATGCGAGATACAGTGAAGTGCTGTAAGCTTCCTGGCTGCCTTGTTTGCAAGATTTACAGCATGGTTCTTCATGGTTAGTTTGGAGTCATATATCACCCCAAGGATATCAACTTCTTCTCTAGGTGCCAACACCCTCCCATTCATCCTTACTACTGCACCAGCATTACCATCATGGTGCCTAGAGATCATCATCATTTGTGTTTTCTCAGGTGCAAATGTTACTTGCCATCTATTTCTCCAGGCTGATATAGCTCTTAGCTGGTGATTGATGTAGCTTAGAGCAGCTGGCATTTCTTCTCTTGGATAAGTGAATGTCAGTGTACAGTCATCTGCATATGCATGGGATTCTGGGATGAGACGAAGAAGGTCGTTGAAGTAGATATTCCATAACAATGGTCCCAGCACGCTTCCTTGTGGAACACTTGCCCCAATAGGATGTCTTGCTGATTCTGTTTCATTGAGAACTACCCTTAGAGATCTACCGTGAAGGTAATCACTGAGGAGACATAGCGTAGAGCCTGCAATTCCCAGTGCTTGAAGTTTTGCTAAGAGGCCCTGGTGCCACACCCGGTCGAAAGCACCAGCAATGTCCAGTGCTACAACACAGCTGACTTTGGATTCATCCAGTGACTGGTGCCACTTAGTGGAGAGGTTTAACCCTTTGAGGGTTTTGGCCATACTAGTACGGCTTACAACCCAGGGTTTTTGATGTACTAGTACGCCTAAATTCTAGAGCCCTCAAATCTAGTGGGAGAAAGCTGGTAGGCATACATATGAAAGAATGGGTCTATGTGGTCAGTGTGCGCAGTATAAAAAAAAATCTGCAGCACACAGTGCATAATGAGAAAAAAAAAACTTTGACCGTGTTTTGGGAAAAAAAGAGCGACTTTGCACTGTATTCTCGTATGGTATTTATTGTTGTATTCTAGTTTTCTTGGTCTCATTTTATAGAATGGAAGACATATTACAGAAATTGAGATGATTTTGACTGGTTTTACAAAGAAAACTACCTTGAAATTGAGCTCAAAGTAGCAGAAATGTTCGATTTTTACCAAAGTTGAAAAGTAAACAATTCATGCCAAGCATCCAATACACGTCAACTGGTGTGTCTAATATTATTTCACAAGTGTGCTGATATTATTTATACCATTTCTACACTAATGCAGCAGTCTGCATAACAGTAAATCTTCTATTTTTTGTAAGAATAAAAATTGAAAGTGGAAAGTCAAAGAAATATAAGAGGGGCGTGGGGACGTGACTAACAAACAGAGGAAATGTTATTTTAGTGCCAGGAATGTCTTTCTTGTTTATTCTGGACCCTATTTGGAAATTGGCATCTTTTGAAATTTGTGTGAAATTGGCAAAATTGCTAAATTCTGACCACTGTATGGGATAGTTGAAATTGGTAAATAGGTGGTTTCTTGTACTCATTCAATAGAAAAAATGGAGTTCTAGAGAAGTAGTTAAGATTTTTGTCGACTAGTACACTGGAATTGGCCGAAAATAGGGCTCAAATTGGGCAAAATCGCCGATGCGTAAACATCGTCGAGACCGCTAACTTTGCAATAGCATAATTCCTTAAGTTTTCCATCAAATTTCACACTTTTGGTGTCATTATGATCGGGAAAAGATTCTCTATATTTTCATAAGAAAAAATAATTTTTTTTTTAAATTTGGCCGACCCTGAGAACAAGTCTCTGAGAGGGCCTGTCGACCCTGAAAGGGTTAAATCTTGTCCCCCAGGATGTGACTCACACCAGTCAACTAACACCCAGGTACCTACTTGCTTGCTAGGTGAACAGGGACAACAGGTGTAAGGAAACATGCCCAGTGTTTCCACCCTTGCCGGGGATCAAACCACAGACACTCAGTGTGTGAAGCGAGAGCATTGCATACCAGGCCACTGGCCACCATAAAACTCTCTTAATACCATTACATAATGTAATGGTCATGAATCAGTCACAACTCTTCATGCTTACAGAGCATGGAGAATTGTATATAATATAAATAACTTTTACTTACCTGTAACAACTTCCCATGCTAAATCTCCCAAGTTATTGACATAATATTAAAATTCATCTTACTGACTCCACCAGTCTTCATTTCAACCATTGATAATTTGTTCTAGCATTCTCCTTCCTTCCTTCACCCCCACCACCAGCACTGGTTTGATGGGACAGTTTCTCTCGACACAGCCTACAAAATTGGTTATTGTGATCTGAAATGGTACATGTTGGTATGGAAATGGAAGCGTCTTTTGCAAGGGCGTGCTGAGGTGGATTTTGCCAATACTGATGTGGCCGTGGCAGAGATGCAGGTGCAGAAACTGTTAGATGATGGCCAGCTGGCACATGTCACCCATGCGTACAATGGCACCTTCAATCTTGACCATGAAGCCAGGACCCTCCATGTCAGGTCAGTAGATGTGCTGTGCATTAGTCATTAACACACATGGTTATTTGTAGATACAGTGGACCCCCGGTTATCGGCTGGTTTGGTTATTGACCAACTCGGTTATCGGCTGGTTTTTAGGCACCTGGTTATCAGCTGGTTTTTCGGCACCTGGTTATCGGCCGTTCGCTTGGTTATCAGCCATTTTGGACGCGTCCATCCGCCGGCTGGGGCAGCTTGCGCTTCAGTTTGGTTTTGTCTCTTGGTGACTGAGGAAGCTTCTGCTCATACATCCAAACATTTCGCTTGTTTACCATTGTTTTTAGTGATTTTTCTTGCAGTGCAACTGTGAAATAAGTAAAGATGGCTCCAAAGAAAGTTCCTAGTAAAGTTCCTGTGGTAAAGAAAGTGAGAAACACTATGGAATTTAAGTGTGAAGTGATAGAAAAGTTTGAGAGTGGTATGAAGGTGGTGGAACTTGCCAGGATGTACAGCAAGAATAAATCATCAGTTACATCCATCCTGGCAAAGAAAGAACAAATCAAAGACACTAATGTTGCAAAAGGAGTAACTTTTCTAACTAGACAAAGGCCACCAGTAATGGAAGAGATGGAAAAGTTATTATTGTGGATTAAGGAAAAAGAATTAGTGGGAGACAGTGTTGTGGAGTTGATCACTTGTGAGAAGGCAAAGCAGTTGCATGAGGATCTTGCAAAGAAAATGCCTGGAACAAGTGCTGCAGTTTGTGAATTTAGGGCCAGCAAAGGATGGTTTGATAGATTTAAGAAGCGTAGTGGCATATACAGTGTTCTAAGGCATGGTGAGGCTGCAAGTTCTGACGAATGCGCAGCTGAAAAGTATGTTCACAAATTCCAGGACTATGTAAAGGCTGAAGGATTCGAACCCCAACAAGTGTTCAGTTGTGATGGAACAGGCCTGTTTTGGCAGAAAATGCCAAACAGGACCTACATTGCCCAGGAGGAAAAGGTACTGCCAGGACACAAGCCCATGAAAGACAGGCTTACTCTTTGTTGTGTGGTAATGCTAGTGGGGATTTCAAAGTGAAGCCTTTACTCGTATATCATTCAGAAAATCCCAGCGGGTTCAAGAAAAACAATGCCATGAAGAATAGATTATGTGTGATGTGGAAAGCTAATCATAAGGCATGGGTCACAAGCCAATTTTTCAAAGAGTGGGTTAATGATGTGTTTGGCCCAAGTGTGAAAAATACCTCCTGGAAAAGAAATTGCCACTCAAGTGCCTCCTGGTACTGGACTTGCAAGACCAAGTGTTTAGGGACTTCAGTTTCATCACAGTGAAGTTCTTGCCTCCTAACACCACTCCTCTCCTCCAGCTCATGGACCAACAGGTCATTTCTAACTTCAAAAAATTTTACACAAAAGCAGTGTTTCAAAAGTGCTTTGAAGTGACCTCGGACACTCAGTTGACCCTAAGACAGTTCTGGAGGAATCATTGGGCAATGAATGGATGTCTAGGGCAATTGGTATAAATTGCTTGTTAGACAGGTACTGCAAGGAACTTGCAATCCCATTCATTGATAACTGGAACCTATTCTTTGGCAAACGTGATATGTATGCAAGGGATGGGGTTCATCTCTCTGGGGATGGAGTGGTTGCATTAGCCAGTTCGATGGAGTGGGTAATTGATGACTTGTCTAGTAATTTAAACTGATAGATTGTAGAGGTATGGGTGTTTGTGGGAAACAATCAGGCTGCAGCATTAGGGTTAAAAACAGCAGTTATTACCAGGATACCTCAGGGATATGTTTAAAAGACAATATTCAAAATAAAGTTGCTAGTAATGGCAAATCAATTGATCAACAAACAAAGAGAGATAGTAGAGGGCAATGAGTGACTAGCTCCCTTAAGGTTTACTATACAAATAGTAGGAGTCTAAGAAATAAGATAGATAAGCTAAGATTACTTGCAAGTGTAGGTAATATAGATATTATTGGTATAACAGAGACCTGGTTCAACCTGAAATATAGAGAAATACCTTCTGAATGCAACATACAGGGTTATAAACTATTCCACACTGATAGGGCCAACAGGAAGGGTGGTGGGGTGGCGATGTATGTCAGAGAAAATTTAAATTGTTGTCTTAGACATGATATAAGATTAGAAACATCGAACGCAGAATCTGTTTGGCTACAGTTTCTCGAGGTACGTGACAAATTAATTTTGGGTGTGATTTATAGGCCCCCAAACCTTGATAGGGAGTGCAGTAAGCTGTTACGGGACGAAATTCATAAGGCATCTAGATATGAAAATGTTGTGATAATGGGAGATTTTATCTTTAGACAAATTTATTGGAACAATATGATAGGAAATCTTGAGTCTAGTGACTTTCTTGTTACGGTTCAGGATTGCTTTTTAGAACAGGTTGTGACAGAACCAACTAGAGGGAACAGTCTGCTTGACTTGGTTCTTGCCAACAAAGATTCACTAATTAATAATCTTGAGGTTAATGATGAGCTTGAGGAAAGTGATCACAAATCACTTAGTTTCAATATATCATGGAATTACCCAGATAACTGCAATCAAATCTCTGTCCCAGATTTCCACTTGGCCGACTTCATGGGACTGAAAAATTACCTGGGTGGGCTAAATTGAGATATCCTGACTTTGGGTCAGGTAGGTGATCTTGGTTGCCAATATGACGTTTCTCAGAGCATAGTTCTAGCTGCCCAGACAACTTTTGTTCCGAGTAGGGAAATTAGATCTAACAAAAATGATCCCAAATGGTTGAACAATAGATTAAAACATCTCATTGGTCAAAAGAGAGGTGCACATATAGACATATCAAAAGAGGGGATGGGCAGTTAAGAAATCAATATATTCAATTAAAGAGAGAAATAAAGAAAGGAATAAGAAAAGCAAAAAGAGATTATGAGGCTAAGGTCACAAGGGATTCAAAGACTAACCCAAAAGGGTTCTTTCAGGTGTACAGAAGTAAGATTAGGGACAAGATTGGCCCACTTAAGAGTAACTCTGGTCAGATCACTGACAGTGATAAGGATATGTGTTAAATTCTCAATACCTACTTCCTCTCAGTTTTCACCCAGGAAAATACTAGCGATATTCCTGAAATAATAGATTATGTAGAACAGGATGATAATAAACTATGCACGATTGCAGTAACTAGTGACATGGTCCTCAGACAAATAGAAAAACTAAAAACCTAACAAATCCCCAGGTCCTGATGAACTGTTTGCAAGGGTGTTAAAGGAATGTAAAGAGGAACTTAGCATACCTTTGGCTGATCTTTTTAACATATCACTACAAACTGGCATAGTGCCTGATAAGTGGAAAACAAATGTAATACCCATTTACAAGGCAAGTGGCTTCGAACTATAGACCAATAAGCCTTACCTCCATAGTGGGAAAATTTATGGAATCAATTACCGAAGCAATTCATAGCCATCTTGATAGGCACAGATTGATATGTGAATCTGAACACGGTTTTACAAAGGGGCTTTCCTGTCTTACGAATTTACTAACTTTTTTCACTAAGGTGTTTGAGGAGGTAGATCATGGTAATGAATATGATATTGTGTATATGGACTTCATTAAGGTTTTTGATAGAGTTCCACACCAGAGGCTACTGAGGAAACTTAAGGCGCATGGAATAGGAGGAGAAATTTTTTCCTGGGTAGAGGCAGGGCTGACAAATAGGCAGAGTTTGCATAAATGGGGAGAAATCAGAATGGGGGCACATCACAAGCAGTGTTCCTCAAGGGTCGGTGTTGGGCCCGTTGTTGTTCACAATTTACATAAATGACATAGATGAGGGAATAAATAGCAACATAAGCAAATTTGCTGATGACACCAAAATAGGTTGTCCAATTCAGCACTCTAGGATGATTTGAATAGACTGATGCAATGGCCAGAGAAGTAGCAGATGCAATTTTATATTGGCAAATGCAAAGTTCTAAATGTTGGACAGGTAAATAACCATGCCACATGTAAACTAAATTATGTAGATCTTAATACTACTGATTGCAAAAAGGATTTAGGAGTTCTGGTTAGCAGTAATCTAAAGCCAAGACAACAGTGCATTAGTGTTTGCAATAAAGCTAACAGAATTCTTGGCTTCATATCTAGAAGTATAAATAATAGAAGTCCTCAGGTTGTTCTTCAACTCTGTATATCCTTGGTTAGGCCTCATTTAGACTATGCTGCTCAGTTCTGGTCACTGTATTACAGAATGGACATAAATGCTCTGGAAAATGTACAGAGGAGGATGACAAAGATGATCCCATGTATCAGAAATCTTCCCTATGAGGATAGACTGAGGGCCCTCGAAAGGCGTAGAATTAGGGGGGATATGATCGAGGTGTATAAATGGAAAACAGGAATAAATAAAGGGGATGTAAATAGCGTGCTGAAAATTTCCAGCCAAGACAGGACTCGCAGCAATGGTTTCAAGTTGGAAAAATTCAGATGCAGGAAGGATATAGGAAAGCATTGGTTTGGTAATAGAGTTGTGGATGAGTGGAACAAACTCCCGAGTACAGTTATTCAGGCTAAAATGTTGTGTTGTTTTAAAAATAGGTTAGATAAATGCATGAGTGGGTGTGGGTGGGTGTGAGTTAGACCTGACTAGCTTGTGCTGCTGGGTCTGGTGCCGTGCTCCTTCCTTGAGTGGAGGTGACCAGACTGGGTGGGTCATTGGGCTAATCTGGGGGGCAGAACATGGACCTGCTCCACATGGGTCAGTAGGCCCATTGCAGTGTTCCTTCTTATGTTCTTATGTTCACTATCCTCCATTGCATAAGCCTTATAGGCTTGGGAGGGAGTGACTTCCAGGACTTTGAACTCTGCTTGGAGAAAACTGTGGCCAGATTGTGTCCAAGAGAGGGATTTTGAAGGGTTTGAGGCTGACCCTGACCCTGTTGACCCTGTGGACTCTATTGTGGCACTGGGGAAGTCCCTGGGGTTGGAGGTGAGTGGCGAGGATGTGGAAGAGTTGGTGGAGGACCACAGGGAAGAGCTAACCACTTA